TGAAGATATTTTGGATGTAGTCAGGGCAGTGAGAAGATGCTGCTCTGATTTTTAAAAGTGTAAAGTTTTCTTTTATAGTTCTTTAAAAAGTTTTAAAGTTCTCATAAAACTTTTTTAGCCTCCTGATAATGGAGCAAAAAGAAAGCAGATGGAGAGCTGGGCTTGAAGAGGATCATGGACTGGTTTGGATTAGAAGGATCATTTCATCAGGGACACATCCCTCCAGAGCAGGTTTCTCCAAGCCCCATCTGACCTGCCCTTGAGTGAGGGATGAAGCAGGAATTCACAAAGCCTCTTCCAGCCCCTTGTCTCAGTCCTTAACTTTTGACTCACCCTTTTCTAGAAATCAAAGTGAAAATAGGCTTTCACCCCTCTCTGACCACCCCTCATGGAAATGCCACTCCACAGGGGATGGAAATCGGTGCTGACCACACCTGCTGGGCTGCTCTGTGTCCAGCAAAGGCAGGAAAAACCTGGCAGCTCCCAAGCATCCAGCCCTGCTGAAAAATTATCCCCAGAGAATTTAAATCATGGTGTAATTACCTGTTCCTGTCATCTACTTGTGCCCCAGGGTGTCACTGGAGCCTTGTAAGTGTCAGTTAATAAATACATACATATATATATATATATATATATATATGTATTTCCTTGAGCCCCATGACCACCAAATTTGCATCATTAATCCCTCAACTCAATACCCTAATGCCTGAAATATTCTTTTAGGACACTGAAATTTGGAAATTAGTGATTGAAGGGATTAATTTGAGGCACTTGGTCTCCCTCTGTCCGAACCTCTCTGGTGAAAATGACTGATACAGTCACAGAGGTGAGGAGCCAACCCCCAATTTGTCTGAGTGCTGCACTGTTCTCACACTGATCTGACTTTTAAAGCAATAAAAGTCAAATTTTGAGTCTTCTGATGGAAGCTGGCAGAGAGAAAGGTCTGAGGGCTGTGCAAGACCCTTCACAACTTATTCCTTATGCATCCTCTGCTGACTGAGAAACTGCTCAAATTTGATTCTTCCCTTCTCTGGTAATAGGGAAAAGCTGCTTTAAACCAATTTTTTTTTGTTCTCAGTGGGGCTATAAAGACCTGATATTGTTGAAACCCCACCCATTCAGTCTATAGAATAACAGACTATGGCATAGACATTTTTACTGTCCTCCTAAAATCCTGGGAATCTGGGCAATGTCAGAGTCTGCTTTTGAAAGGAATTTGCAATTTTGATAGCCTGGGAAGAAAGAAAATAATCCCCCCACTTGACTTAGCCCTTCCCCCTTAAGTGTATGGTCTGGCTTTTAAAAAAAATGCATTTTGATTAATTCAAGGTTCAGGATTTATCTTTCCTGGAAGCTTCTCTCCCCAGCCCTCGAATCCCACCATCCCCAGGTGGGATGTGCATTTTTCCCACTCAACACCTATCCAAAGGGAAACACCTTGGGATGACAGCGTGCCAACATCTCTTCCCTCATTGCCAAACCCCACCACGAATTCTCCTTCCAGACTGAAAATCTGCAGGGAGGGATGCGGGGCGGATCATTTTTGGGGTCTTACCTGAGTCCACGCACAGGAGCACTCCCAGCAGGAGCACAAGGAAAGCCTTCATCTTGGAATAACCTATTTTGGGGCTGCCTCTCTGGGATGTTTCCTCCTGGGGCAGGTTATATATCCTGGGAGGCCGGGCGTGCCCACAAGGTCATCCCTGAGAAGGCACCTGAGGTTGCTGCTGGCAGCACCAAGGGAGGGGTTGCTTTGTGTGTTGGGATATTTGTGTTTGGTGCCTCTCCTCTTTCCCTGCCACTCTCCGGGCTCCCCTCCACCCCCCTGCCTTCCCTCCTACCCTTGGGCAAAGTGCTCACAGGAGTGGAAAAAGCCCCAAATTCTTCCGAACAAGGCTGGCCTTATGCATTTCTTCTTCAGAGCCACTGAGGCTGCAGTGGCACCCCCGTGAGCGAGGCTCTCCACCCCCGGTGCCACCCTGAGTGGTGCCATTGTGTTTAAACTGAGGACAAAATGTTCTTTGAATCAACAGCTCCGGGTATTTATCTGCCTGTGTGAGTGATACTCGTGATAACAAGGTATGTGGTGGGGAGGTATGTGGGCAATTTAAAAGTGCATTGGCATTTCCAGGTATTGAGGAGTTCATTCGCCATCATTTGCATTTATTTTCTATTAAAAAGCAGTGGCCAACTCTTTATTTTTGATGTTTGGAGCCCAAGGGACTTTGTGCTGGATTTATTTGGTGTTTTGAGATGTTTCATCTGTGGCTTGGCTCTTGTCTGGCATAGGCTGGGTACAAGTTTGGACACTTGGCAGACGCAGTGTCAACAGCCTGTCCACAAAATGTCATTTCTCCATCACAGACAGGGTGAGTTCAGCCACATTCCAGCCTCGAGTGCGAATGTTTGCTCTCGTGGGTTGAGCAGAGTCCTCTCCCATTCCTCACACCCTGTGACCACTTCTCAGGATACGCCAGGGCAAAAGAAAACAGGGTTGTTTTTTTTTTGCTAAATTCAATTTTTAATTGCTTTTCCCCCCTGGGATCTTGGGATTAGTGCTGTGCATTTCTCTCCTTCAGGGATTTATTCCCATGAAGTTTATCTCTCAGGAACCTTTCCAAAAGGTGTGCAAGTGGATCATTTATCAGTGGCTGTGGGGTGAAGGGTAGGGACTAAAACTCCTGCCCTGGCTTATGCTGGAGGAGAATCCATTGCAGGAGATGATTTGACAAATCCCAATTCCTCCATGGGGATCTTAACCACTTCCACTTGCACTCTTCTGTGTAAAAAATACCTAAAAGACCACCCCAACATCTTTTTTCTGTGTCTGTTGGCTTCCGCCTCATCATATTTTTACAGACCATATAATTTATAGACAAGCTTTATGGATTAAAAACCCTAATCTTTTTTCAGGCTCTGGACTTCCTCATTCAGAGGTATTGAAGGTTATTTTTATTTTTTGATCCCTTAGGACTGTCCCTGTAGGGTTTGGCTTTTTGTGGTAAGGAAGAACAGGGCCAAGAGGAACAAAAACCACTCCCTATCAATTCCAGCAAGGTCTGGAATTAAATATTTCTTCAAAAATGCATTGATAAAGAATAAAAACTCTTTCCATCTTTCCCAGTGCCATTGTTTTTTGTTCTTTTTCTAACATCACCCAGAAAAGCTCGAAACTTGTGGTGCTGTGAGAGAATCTGACCGATGAGAGCTTCTCCATCCCCCAGTCCTGCTTGCCTGAGGCTGTGTGAGATCCCAGGAATTCCTGTATTCTTACGTAAATTGTTTATTCTCACTGTTTTTTGGGAAACTGAAGTGCAATTCCTGCCTGATTCCTGAAGATGGCAAACGTGCCCCGTTATAATTCCACGTGCATTAACACACAGTTACCCACAGGACTGGGTGTACAAAGCGTTGTTTTCTTTTCCTGAGGTTATAAAATTCCCAATGTATCTGCCGGCATGGAAAATATCATCAGTTTCCTCTGGAAACCTCATGATGTCTGCAAATCCCTCGGAATGTGGGTTTTTAAAATACTTTTTTTTTTGCTCTCACTGCAGATTCCTGATAGAGGCAGGTCTGGATCTCTCTGTTTGGGAAGGGGGAAGCTGGAATTGATTATTTGCTCTAAGCTGATTCTGGATCATTTGCTCCTGCTGGGTGTCAGGCTGGGAAAATGGTGATGGATTATGGTACAGACCATACAGACATCAAGGAGCAGCCATGAGCTGGAAATTTGAGGAAAAAAATGTGAGAGGATTCCTGGAAAATCTGGACAGAGAGACATCAAAAGGAAGTTTCTCCAATTTTATGGTCATCTGTAAGGAAGCTTGTAGGATGACACAGATCTTAAAATCACGGGATCATGGAATTATTTGGGTTGGAAGGGTCTTCAAGATGACCTTGTTCCACATCCCTGCCATGGGGTCTAAGCCAGGTCTAAGCCCTGCCCAGCCTGGCCTTGGACACTCCAGGGATGGGGCAGCCACAGCGTCTCTGAGCACTGAGTTTTCTCAGCACGGTCGTGCCTGTAACTCCTTTCCAGGATGTTCTGAAGTCCCTGTGTGTGGTTAAAATGGGAATTTTATTGCCTTTTCCACTTGTGGATGGTGTTAACAGAGAGCTGATGCTGCCTGAAGTGGTGTTTGCAAATCTACCCAGGCTGTGAGGCTGTGGGGTGTTTTAATGACCAGTTTTAGGCATCCAAGTGGGAATTTCCAATGGCTGTTGCTGGGAACACAGCCTCAGGAATATTCAGCTGTCCCAAATCAGAATGTCTGGGGAATAAAAGAGATTAAATCACAAGCTGGGAGTGAGGCAAATCCCATCATGGACTTTTCTCCTTTTTGCAAGGTGGGAAGTGTGGATCCCAAATGAGGAGTGGAACTGGATAGGCAGGATAAGGGATGGATTGATAAGGGGAGAGAAAGATTTCAAAAGGAGGAGATGTAGAGATGTTCCCAGAGATGGATGGATGGATGGATGGATGGATGGGTGGATGGATGGATGGATGGATGGATGGATGGATGGATGGATGAATGGATGGATGATGGATGGATGGATGGATGGATGGATGGATGGATGGATGGATGGGTGGATGGATGGATGGATGGATGGATGGATGGATGGATGGATGGATGGATGGATGAAAGAGTAGTTTAGATTGGATATTGGGAAAGAATTCTTCCTTTGAGGGTGGTGAGGCCCTGGCACAGGCTGCCCAGAGAAGCTGTGGCTCCATCTCTGGAACTCCTCAAGGCCACAGCAGGACAGCAGAAGCAACCTGGTCTAGTGGAAGTTTGTCCCTGTCCATGGCAGGGGGTTGTACAAGATGACCCTGAAGGTCTTTTCCAACCCAAACCATTCCATGATTCTATGGAAAACACACAGGATGTGTCTCCTGTCTCAGCCTTCCCCACCTCCCGGCTGTTTTCCACTTTCTTCTGTCCTGGGATGGACATGAATGATGCTGATCCAGCAGCAGGAAAAATTATTCCAGCTGTTCCAGAGGTGCCCCTGGCTGCGAGCAGAGAGAGGCTTCAGCCCCCACATCTGTAGATATTTAACAGCTCCCATAGCTGTAGATATTTAACATCGTTCCATGTCATGGTCCACCTCCCACTCCAAAGATTTCAGAGCACGTAGATGCAAGGCTGGGATTCCTGATGGAATTTCAGAGCCCAGCAATGGAGACTGGAGCTGCCTTTAAGAGCAGGACACTGAGAGATGCAAGAAGGTGTTTGGATTTCTGTCACTGAGCTTCTCACGGACCTTTGGCTCGAGCCTTCCTTTCTTTGTGCTTCTTTTTCCTCCACCACCATACAGGGCTTGGAATTCTTGCATTCCAAACGAAATTTTTGGGATCTATGTGTGCACACAGGTACAAGCAGGGTGCAATATAAAAGTTTAACGAGCAAGGAGTCTGACCTTGAGTATTTCTTCAAGGGTCTGGGCACACGAGTGAAACATTCAGTGATTCCAATTCGGGATTTCCAAATTCCCGAGCCAGCCTGACCAGCCCTGGAGAAAAAGCTCACCTTCACATCCCACACATTTCTGCTGACAACCAAGAAATCAATGCACGGCTGAAAATAAATCCCACCACGGTGCTGATCTTGTCTGTGGAGCCAGGAGTCGATGGAGAAAATTCCAAGGGCTGCAGGGATTGGAGATTCCCATACGGTGGTGCTGTTGCCACATGGCTGGAGCCCAAACCTCTCCCGGCGTGTGGGAGCAACCCCAGATTGTTTGTTTAAAAATCTCAGCAACTTCAGAGCATCAAAAATGCATTTGACTCTCTCTCTCTCTCTCTCTTTTTTTTTTTTTTTTTTTTTTTTCCCGTTATTTTGTTATTTCGCTAATTGCTGAGCTCTTCTGCTCACAAAAAGCTCCTGCTGGCGATCCCAGAGCTGTTTGCAGGGAGAAAGGAAAGAATTTTCCCGCACACCCAGCTTTGGAGTTGGGGTGAAGGGTGGGTAGAGCAGCCTGGGCTGGGACCACGAAGAGGTTCTATGCTTGTTCTGCCCTAATTAAAAACTTTCTGACTTTTCCCTTACCAGGAGTTGCATCTTCCTGTATACAAATATGGCAAAATATTGGAAATAAAGGCAGGAAATGTGAATTTCCTGGGATCACACAACAGGTCTCAAACCAGAACCCTCAACCACCCTTGCTGCTCCCCAGTCTATGAACTTTTCCTTCCATCAGGAAAATTAATTTTCATGGCCCCACAAGAAACCACAGAATATGGATGGGGAAGAACCTGAGATTTCCAGTCCAGCTGCTGCAGGAGGAAACACAGAATCACAGAAAAATTTCAGGGGCAAGGAACCTTCCAGGTGATCCTCTTCCAACACCTGCCATGGGCTGGGACACTTTCTACCAGGTTTCTCCAAATCCTGTCCAGCCCTGGGTAGAAAAGTGTGGTTTTGGAGCCAGCCATGACCAGCAGGGACCATTGCTCCTCATGTGGCCACAACTGCACTCAATCCATGTCCTCTTGGTGTCTCCTTTCCCAGAAAATCATGGAACCCTTCAGGCTGGAGAAGACCTCTGAGATCTTTGAGTCCAACCATTCCCAAAACAAACCCATGTCCCCATGTGCCACAACCACATGTCCTTTAAACCCCTCCACCCTGGGCAGCCTGTTC